GGGGAGCGTGGCTAGAAAATTATTTACAACGGAAATAAATGAGACCACTCTTGGGGAAAAGTCAAGATGAAGAGTGGAAATATTTTGCGAGACCTTTGAAAGAACATGCTCAGGTGCAGTGGGTTCAGAAATCTGTATGACTTAAGATTGCAGCCACCAGTGCAATATATTAATTTATTCCCAGAAAAAGATGGGAGGCATTGGTCATCCTATTCATTGTCCAAATTGAGCCTATCATTGCCATGTCTGCATTGCCCCTTCCTGTCGAGGTCTATTCCAGAATATTCCACACCTGAAAACTCTTTTCTTTCTGCCCAAGGATTCCCCAGGGATCAACGCTACCTACACAGTAAGTGGAGCTCACGTACTAATTCACACGCAACGTCAATTGAACCTAACATTATCGAGGGAGCAGTAAATCTCACTTGTTGTGATTACTTCCCACAGAGTTTGAACTTGGGGGAACAGTCGGTGTACGGTAACCTAAAAAGGTAGGATTCATGCTGCTTCTTCAATTGTCAAACAATCAACCTATATTGGAAATCCATCTTGCTAAACATCCACCTTCATATCATGTATCTCTCAATTTATGTGTCAAATGTCTGTTTATTAGCTAACAGTTTCTCTATCTATCTATCTGTATCTATCTCTATATATCTCTATCTATCTAACTATGTATATCTATCTATCTATCTATCTATCTCTATCTATCTTTCTCTATCTATCTGTCTATCTTTCTCTATCTATCTCTATCTATCTATGTATCCATCTTTCTCTATCTATATCTATATCTATCTATCTAACAACCAAAAGAACTGCAGATGCTGTAAATTAGGAACAAAAACAAAGTTGCTGGAAAAGCTCAGCAGGTCTGGCAGCATCTGTGAAGGAGAAAACAGAGTTAACGTTTCGGGTCCGATGACCCTTCCTCAGAACTGATGGTATGTATGTATCTATCCACCTATATCTATCTATCTATATCTATCTGTATGTGTCCATCTATCCACCTGTCTGTCTATCCATCTGTCTATCTATCTATCTTTCTCTACCTATCTCTATCTACCTATCTATCGGTCTATCTCTATCTATCTATGTATCTATCTTTTTTTATCTATCTATCTAGCTATTTATCTATCTATCTTTATCTATCTATATCTATCTATCTATCTATCTATCTATCTATCTATCTATCTATCTAT